GGCCAAGAGAGGGTCGATCAGATATATCTTAGACTTGACTCATCTTATATATCTGCATATTAATATGAATTAAATAGGAGTATCGTATGGAGCATTAGTGTGATAATAATCGACTGAACACAACCATGACAACGCTAATAACAAGTTATATCCAGCAGATCTCCAGCACTCCAGAAACTCGTGTCATCCTACTTTTCACTTTCTACATCCTTCAAGATCGGTCCTTCACTGCTCTCATAGCAGATCATAATGTAATGCAATGAATTACTCTTGGGCCAAGGATGACTTTCTATTTCTCAACCCATGATTTTAATTTACTAAGCCCATTTGACAAGACATACAATGTACTTGTGTTTTACACTAAAATGAAAAAACATGTCCATGAAAACTCTACCAGGACATTTTTTGTATGAAGAGGTACCTGTCGCTAAATCGACACTTAATTCATAAGAGTCTAATAGTAAAACCCAAACAACGATTGTCTTTCTTCTTGTTCGTCTCTCATATCCGTATTTTCTTTTAGTAGGAAGTGGTTTACCGATCGTGTTTTGAAATTGTTTGGCTTATTGAATTCGTTCACCTTCAACTTGTGACGTGTTTTATTGATTTCATTACGAAAAACCAATATAAGTTTTGTTTGTTACCTTGTTTACTTGTTTGTTTCTTGTTGTTTGTGCATCGTTCGTTTCAGTGGTTTATGTTTGGTTTCGTTTCAGTGTGTTTTTCTTTGTTCTTTAAGTATTGCCAATCGCGCTTCTAAACCATCAACAAAAGCGATTTACACAAATCTAAAATAGTCTCTTATAATTAATATCCTGAATAAAGAAAGCAAATTGGAAATGTAATTTGATAAACCAATTTTATTAATTGTGAATGGTCCCATATTAATGAAGCGAGATTCCAACTTTTCTACAAATCGATATCATAAATTGAAGTTTCGCTACTCTAATGACATTACTGGGCTTGACGTATTATTATTAAAAATATTTTATTCGTCTATAAGTTTTACATACATTATATTTATACAATTTGACGAAAAGGATCGGACAAGAGGCTTTCGCCTATTCTAAGTCCTCTCCTTTGGTTGTCCTAGAAAATTATTACAGTTTTATTTATTTGTGCAGGATGGGAGGCTTGGGAAGAAATGAGAGAGTGAAAGGAGGAACTACTTGTTAGAGAATCTTTTTGTAACTCTTATGTAATTGTGAACAGCAGTGAATGTGGCTTTGTTTTCTTCATCTGTTTTCCTTGCATTTCCATGGATGAGTTCTTTCAATGTTATCCTAGGTAGAATTGTTTTGTGTCTTTGGTATAAAGTGCATTCTTTGAAATAGTGTTCGGCACTTTCTATTGGGTTTCCGCATTCACATTTGGGACTGTCCTTTACATGGTTGAGATGTAGATCTTGGTTTAAGTCGCTGCATCTAAGTCTTATCTGTGTGTGTATTATTTGAGTGTCTCTTTTCCCATAGTAATAGTAGTTTGGTACCTTCTTCTTGTTTGTTATCAATTTTTTGAAGTGCTCCTCAGCTTTTGTGCTTTTTATTGATGCATCAATGTCATTCCACACTTTTATTGTGGCTGGTAGAAATGATTTTCTGTACGCTTCAGTTCTGCATACAGGCATTAATAGGTTGTTAGCTCGTCGGAGATCATGATCAGACCTTCTCTTGGTTGCTTCAATTACATTGCTCAACGAGTCTGTTATTTTTTTGTTTATGAGTTTGTGCATTATTAGTAGTTTTTGTGTTGTTCGACGCTCTTGAAGTTTTGCCCAACCTGTTTCTTTGTATATCAACTCGTGGCTTGTTCCTCTTTTTGCCCCTGTACAGATTCTTGCAGCTTTTAGTTGTAGTTCTTCTAGTAGGTCTTTTTCATAGTTATGACAGTTGTCCCATACTGGAGAGGCATATTCAATTATAGGCCTAATAAATGCTTTATACATAATTTCCAGTGTTTTTCGGTCAAGTTTATATTTAAGTCCTCGCATGACATCTATCATCTTGGCAGCTCTATTAGATATGTTCCTTATGTGTGATCCCCATGTTCCATTGTTGTCTAATGTCAGGCCTAGATGTTTATGGTTAGTCACTTCTTTGATAACTTTTCCATTGAAAGTGAGTTGAAATTGTCCATTGTTTTGGTGTTTTCTCGTGAATAACATTGTTTCTGTTTTTTCTGGGTTGAAGGTTAGTTGCCATATATTGGCCCACTCGTTTGTTGATCGTAGTTGTTCGTTAAGAGTTTCAATTATGTTGTCATTTTCTTTTCCACTTGCAAGAAATGTAGTATCGTCTGCATATATCCTTCCAGTGCATTTATCAGTTAGGTTTTCCAAGATATCATCTATGTACACCAAAAATAACAGTGGTCCTAGGATGGAGCCCTGTGGAACGCCTGCAGAGATATACCCCCAGCTGGATGTTTCGCCATTGAGAATGACCCTTTGTTTTCTGTTGGATAGGTAACTTTTGAACCATTTTAGTAAGTTTCCTTTGATTCCCTTCCGTTCTAACTTGTTAACTAGGCCTTTATGCCATACTCGGTCAAAAGCTTTTGACATGTCACAAAAGACGGCTCTTGTGTTTTCATTATTCTCCATCGTCTCCATGATGTAGTTGTACATCTCTAGTAGTTGCGTTGTTGTGGAGTTTCCTGGGGAATAAGCAGATTGGAATTTTGACAGCAATTTCCATTTGTGTAGGTAGTTATGTACATGAGTATACATTGCTCTTTCGAATACTTTCGCTACACAGTTCAGTAGAGATATTGGTCTGTAATTTGTTGCTATTTCTCTTCTGTCTTTTTTGAATATTGGTGTAACATTCGCTTCTTTCCAAATGTCTGGGAAGACATTCTGTTTTAATGATGCATTAAATATTTGTGCCAGTATCGGGGCTATTGATTTTGCAGTCATTTTTAGAACACGTGGACTTATATTGTCAGGCCCTAGTGACTTTCCTGGATTCAGATTTATAAGTATGTCTTCGACTGTCTGATTTGACAATCTTACCGTTTCTATACTTTTGTCAGTTGATGCTTGGAGAATTGGTGGATCTTGATTAGTTTCCAGTCTGCTTTGGGCTAAAAAATGATTATTCAATAATTCAGCCTTTTCTTTGTTGTTTGATATTGAATGACCATTGACAAGAAAGGGTGTTTCATTGTTATCTGATGCCCTGAAATCGTTGTAGAACTGTTTGACCACAGTCCACCAGGTCTTTGTTCCAGTTTTTCCATTGACCAATTTCTGTGAGAGTCTTAGTTCGTATTCTTCTTTGGCATTTCTGAGTTCGGTTATTGTTTCATTTCTCAGCTTTTTGTATTTGTCCCATAGCGTGTCTGTTCTTAGTGTTTTTGCCATCTTGTAAGCTCTGTTCCGCCTTCTAATGAAACGTTTTATTTTTGTTGTAATCCATGGCAGATCATTTTGCCTTATAGTTATTGTCTTTTCTGGGATAAACTTGTTTATTATGCCTTTAAATTCTTTATACCAATTCTTTACAATTTCATTTACGTCAGTGTCATTGTTGTTATCATGTATATTTAGTATTTGATTCCAGTTCCTACTCTGTATGTCTTCGTTCATCGCTTTCCAGTCTACAAGTTTATAGTTTTTTATTGTTCGCTTATAGTCTTTACCAGACTGTTTTTTTTATGTTTATTTCTGTGTATATGGGGCTGTGCTTGCTCATTGATGGTGTTAGTACATCTGTGCGTATGATCGTTCCTGGAGATGTTGTTGCCAAGATATCAATTAAGGTTGCGGCTGTATCTGTTATGTGAGTAGGTTCTTCTATCATTTGATGTAGATTGTATTCTTGAAACAGATCATCAAGTTTGTTGTTCGTCTTATTAAGCATGTCACAATTTAGATCACCTACCATGTAGACATATTTCTTACCATTGGCATATTCTTTGATATTTTCAAGTAAGTTGTCTATGAGAGTCCATGTGTTTGCTGGGCTGTTTGGAGCTCTGTACACTGTAGTTATGAGAACTTTTTTCGTTTCTATAAGGACTTCGATGCATAATGCTTCTAGTCCATTTGGTACCAAGTTACTTACATTTTTGAAAATATAATTTTGTTTTACAAAAATAGCAACACCTCCTCCCCTTCTTTCTAGTCTGTCTAATCTTACTGGTAGATGGTAGCCTCCCAGGGTAATGTTGCTGTTAGGTACATTATCGTCTAACCACGTCTCTGAGAGACACACTATGTCACTGTTTTTTGATTCTATTTTCAGTTGGTCCATTTTGTTCCTTAAACTTTGAGCATTCATGTGAATAATGCTGAAATGAGTCGAGTTTCGAAATTGTTCCTCTGCTGATAGAGTTGATGAGATTGATGATTCAGAGCTACTATTATGCCCGTCTTGGTTGCAATTCTTAGCCATCATTGTTATGGTGGCTTTGTTGTTTTTGATTTTTGATATTTAAGGGCATTTATCTCACAAGTTTTCCTCCTTTTACCATCTCCCTTCTCCCCCTTTGCCATCTGCACTATGATTAAGAGATTATTTATTGTAGCAATGATTGAATAGAAAAGATAACTTATTGTGATCTAAAGTGTTCATTATATCTTAAAACGTGTCTGCTTTTCTGAAAGGAAAAAAATACATAGGAAGTCAATGTTCATAATTTTTTTTAATTGGTGACTGCGTACATCATTGATTAATTTGATACTTTTCGAGTTAAAATTTACTTTGGGTAGTGACCTCTGGTGAAACATGATTTCAAATTGATTGGATATAGGTTTTTTAAACTGAAACACCTTCCCACGCGTTCGTATATCAGTATATTTATTGTTAGTTGGAGTTTGATTACATAGTTCGCTCACCGGAAGTTGCTTAAAAAAAAATAATTTAAATTTCAAAATTTAAGTGAGTGGATCGTTTTACGATTTTATGATAGAATATGTTCATATTCGCCGAAGAAGGTGTTTCAGACTGAAAAATACAGGTATGATTATGTAAAATAGTCGTGTGATTTGAGTTAAGTTAAGTTTGGGACATCTCTTTCAGGTCTGCTAAGTCTACTTCCTTCGGCTCGTCTTTTTCTTTCTTTTTGACGTATACCTGACCTCTGTATGTCCAGACTTTATATATTTTGTTTTCTCTCTTCAGTTTTCTGCCTTCTGTTAGAACCTTTGCAGTTTTGGGAGGGAGATCGTCGTTTATAAATACCCTTTCTTTCGTTTTAAAAAGTTTTTCTCTACCTCTGTAAAATTTGTTTCTGAGATTCATGTCATTGAACCGAATTGTTATTGCCCTCATTTTACCGTCTTGGTACTTCCCCATGCGGAAGGCCGAGAAGTCAGCTGTAGCGATTGTCAGGTCAATCTTTTCTTTGGCGAAGTTCACGATTTTGTCTTGAATTCTCTCGTTGTTGTCATCCTGGATGCCCACGACTCTGACTTGAAGTGCCAGTCTTTGGTTTTGCTCGGACTGAAGTTCTTTATGAAGTTCCTGCAATTTCGCCTTTGTGTCTGAGAGATCCTTCTCCAGTTTGTTTATTTTCTTACTCTGGGTTTCAAGGAGAGGTCTTACGGCCTCTTGAAGCGATGCTACTACTTGCTTGTCTTTGAATGCTTCTTTTAGAATGTTTGGCATTATTTTCAAGAAATCGTCTGTCGTCATGGCTGCCATTTTATCTCTCTTCTCTCTTGGTTTAATTGCTTCCAGGGCGTCACAAAACTCGTCTTCCTCTCTATTCCTTTTTCCTTTAATCACAAATAGGTCCAGTTTCGTTTGAGATTGAGTTTCTTGAGGATTCGACATTGAAACTTGACAAATTTCGTGAAAAGTTTGAACCGGATGTTGACGAACAATCCCACTTCCGGTTTGAATGTCAACAAAGTTCGATCTCTAGCTCAAATGTTGTTTACTGCTTGTTTCACTGCGTGTATCACCAATTAAAGTTTACCAATCTTTTCTGTAATTGTTCATATTGTATTCGTTTTGTTTTTTCCTCCACATCTTGCCTTAGTCACACTTTAGATCACAAAAAACGTCTCTAGATTTTTTTGGGTTTCATCTCTTGGTTGCCGGGACAGGCTTGACGTATGATCAGATATGCTTTAAAAAGCATCTCTAGTGGGTCGATATGACTTCCAGTTTCTTAATAGTCTTGCTTGAAGACGATGGACCCCCCCCCCTCCTATCTACTTTAACAACAACAAGTGTTATTTAAGTACCAACAACAACAACAACTGTTGTTGAAGTACCCGTTGAAGTAGGTTTTGAAGCAAGACTAGTTTCTTAATTTATGGAAATTATGGTATAAGAACAACAAACACCATTTTAGAACAAATATACATGGATAACCCCTCAAACCATTATCAATATATAAAACCATGAAGCATAACAAAGTTTATAAAAATAACATAACTTAGTCTTCTCTGAATTTTCCCATGAAGTCCTAGCTGCTTGTAACAACCTAACGTTGATATTAAGTGTGATGTTTGCTGTATGTATATTATTGTTACTTAGAAGATTAATCACAATAATATATTGGCGTTCCCATTATATTTCCTAATTATTGGATGGCTGTCGCTACATTGATGAAAGCACATCCTTGCTCTGTATTTCTATGAGACAATCAAATGATAATAGTACTAATACTTTGCATTATTACCTGTTAAAAGATATCAGGATTTCTGAAAATGAAATGTCATCTCGAGCTAGACACTAGTTGACATTTACAGATGTCATCGACAACGTTTTCGAGAATGGAGAATCTCTATACATGAATATCTCTAGGGTATTGGATAAGTATGAGTCAGTTACCCAATTTCACGATTACAAGACTATTCACTCGTCTACTTATTCTTGCCAAACAAAGCAAAAGTATGACACACAAAAGGAAACGAGAGAAATAGGATTGTTGGATCTCAAAATACAATTCCATTATTTTATTCCTCCGTAACCGAGGTACTTATCAAGTGTTAAAGCCAGTTAGTATCTATAATCCAAGTATATATGCTATCTATAAACATGCATGATGGCTGTTCAAGAGATATTTTTATTTTGTCTGGTATAATAATTGATACAACATCGGTCTCCATAGGATCATAACTTAGATTTCACGTGATAAAATGGCTGTTGAACACATATGATCATCTTTTCTTAGGTATCTCTATTTAGTCTCGATCATTTGTTTTATTATTACGCTTGTAATGTTTATGTAAACTTTTCTTTTTTCTCTTGTGTGTATTAATTATATCAACATAAGTTACTGATTGAGTCTTGTTTACTGCAGTTAAAAAGGATATTGTATTGACATTCTACAAAAAATCTTCCGCTTAAGATCCTGCATTACTTTATATTCTGAATTATATTTCCCGGTTCAACACATTTCATGCATTCAACTGATTTCTCTTTACAACCGAGAGGAGATATATAATCACATTCCGGATATATGAGTTGAATGATGGCCATTCTTGAAAATTTCTTCTTGAGCAGAGCCAATCTGTCATTTTGCATTGAGCATATGAAATTTGAACCAAATCTGTCCACTGGTACTTCGCCTTCTAGCCTATTCGGTTGTATCAAAGAATATATCAATGACAAATGGTGGCTTTTGATAAATGGTGACCATCATGAGACATTCTTCTTGAGCAGAGCTCCTTTTTCTCTAAGCATCAGCATATAATTTGAACCAAATATGTCCACTAAAAATAGCTGCGATTTTGTAATTTAGCTGTCATCTTGGAAATTTATTCTCAAGCAGGAGTTCCTTTGTCCTTGGGCATCAGCAAATAAAATTGGAACCAAATCCGTCCACTGGTACTTCAGTTATCAAAGCTACGTTTTTTCGAAAAATGGCATGAAATTCAGCTCTCATATCTTAAAAATTATTTCTTCAGCAGACCTTGTTTGTCCCTATGCATCAGCCATATCCGTCCACTTTTATTTATAGAGGGATGTTCCGGTAGGAAAGCACAATCAAGATCCCTCTCGGCTTGGACTTTTTTTGCCGTGAGCTGTACCACTTATTCCCCTATCTACTTACCAACGAAGAACCCCCGAATCCGCCGCTTAATGCAGTTCTAATTCTGGAAATATTTGCCATCTGAGTGACACCACGATAATGTCACTTAGGTTGCAAAATATATTTAATATGCTAAAACATCAGTGGTGCTGCATTATATATGACATTAAACCATTGGAAAATGTGTCCTTTGTTTAACGATCCTTGCAATTTTGTTAAAAAGAAAATGTGTTTTGCAAGTGGAATAGTTCGTGATTAAAAAAATTCAACTTCGAAAATGGCAGGAAATCTGAATATTTGGGAAATAAAAAGCTGACAACATTTTTAGATTTTTTTTTTTCAAAAATCTTTTCAATAACTTTTAAAGTCATTAAAAATTCAAACTATGGATGGGGCCTTTAATGGTGACGAAGCCCAATTTCAAAAATATACATCATTTTTCTACATTATTGGCCTTTTGAATAATTAGCTTAACAATTTGGCAATAGTTGCCAACTTTTCAAAAATAGTTAGAATTTTTATAAAAGACTTAACATATTTCGCATGATCTGAAATAAAAAAAATCGACCCCATTTCTAGGTCGGTCCGCCCCTGGTGTATTGCTTTTTAAAATGTTTCGTCAAATGATTGGCAAAAGTGCATCCCGATTAATGAGATTTCAAAAAACAAATGTTCTGGTTTGATGGTGTAACTCCATTTATATAGCTCTAACATACACGAGGGGAAAGTCTACCCGCCTATATACAACCTACCGCGACGAGCAAAGACCCGAAGATGTCGGAAAATGTAGGGGATAAGTTAATAAACTCCTATTTACCTAGTATATATTGAATTTCTCAATATGAGAAATAGATAAAACACCGAATTGTTTGTAACTGATATAGTTGTTGTTCCAAAAATAATGAGTACTTAATGCAATATTTACTATCAAATCGCGAAATTCAACTTCTAAATATTTGAATGATGTTTTTACATCTTAAATAAGTAAGAACCATGGCTGTATTTACTCCATTTGATTCAAAGATACAATACATTTGTTTCACTGCCATACGTTGCATATCATTGACATCACCGGTGAAAGTAGAAAATGAAAGACCCGATTATACCACGAGTACGATTGTATAGGACCCGATGCTACCGCCTGAGTATTCCGATTATACTGTGAGTAGAACCCGATGAGATAGTGGGTAAGCTTTCGGATGACCATATAATAATAACATTACTTATATCACAAATATTCCTGTTAAATTATCATATACTCCAGACATTCGGATATAATATAATTAAGAAATATAGACCGAAGAGCAGTGGTGATAGTGGACGATATTACCCCTGCTCTGAGGTCTATATTACGATTCGAACATGAAAACTCACCAAAATGTTTCGAATATTAATTATGGTCCGCCATGACTACGACCCGCCGTTATGACGTCACACATTACACGTATTACCAAGGGTATTCTTCGCGAATATACCCCGGGTGAAATGTTGACTTTGTTTACAGTTTATAGAATAGAAGGCGTGAATACAGTCATGTTCGAGTTTACCATCAGCACATCATAAACTCGACGATATCATCGGATCTTAACAGATTTTACTCAAGTAATTTTCGGATTCTGAGATCCTTTACTCAATATATTTTCGGATCTTTATAATATTACTCATCGATCACATCGGGTCCGATGTCCGATTACATCGGATCTTTTAGGACAAAGTTTATGTGAAGATTTTGCTAAAAGTGCTATTCTGACCTAATAGTTTCAGGGGCGGATCTGGGAACCAACAAGGGGGGGGCCAAACTTGTGGTCTCAGAAAAAAACTTCCGCGCTTGAGCGGAAAAAAATGTTGGGCCCCAAAAACCCAAAAGTGGGCCCAAAGTTTGAAATTTTGAGGCCCATTTTCTTCAAAATTTAGCCTAAAATTAACAAATAAGGCCTTACAAGGCCAATTTATGACCAAAAAGGCCTACTTTTTGGGGCCTTAAAGCCTTTTTTGGCTCAAAATTTTTTTTGGGCACAATTTTTTTTTCTGGGCCCACCCAAGGGGGGGGGGGCCCGGGCCCCTGGGCCCCCCCCATATCCGCCAGTGAGTTTTACACTTACAAGTAATTATCATGCATATGACATGCATTTACCGACCCAACTATATCTTATGTATGGCTCGTTATCAATTAAAGCGAGTATGAATGAGAAAAACAAATCGAAAACCATTATACGTTATACTTATCTCTTAATTTAGACTTAAAAATATATTTCAACTATAACTCTTGGCAAATTCCGCTTGCAAGAACATCTTAGTAACGATTCTAACCATCCAAGGGAATAACTAGTTGCCTAATATTACTTTTATTGTCCATTTTTCTATGAGATGTAGTTTACTAAACAAACGTGTCTTACTCGGCGGTAGGTTGTACATAGGCGGGTAGACTTTCCCCTCGTGATATAGTTCTAATATGACATTATATTCCAATAAAACATGATGACATTACCATAATCACAAATGACAATCGACAGCGAAATAATGCATTCTAATTGGCTTTTGAACAACATACACGCAAATGACAGGAAATGTAATGATACAGGTAACTTGAGGAATATTTATGCGAGCAACAAAAAAATGAAATATTGGAAACAAAGGGGATTGGATAGAGACAGTATTGAGCTTCAGTTGCAATTGAACTGTTACAAGATTAATGAAGTAAACCAAAACCAATAAGACTAGTTAATCGAACAAGATCAGACTTCTATAGACTTATTAAGATATTGACCATAGTCTATATGTATTTTATTCATTATTCAGAGATCTGTCAAATCGAATGAGTCTTGATCACGAATTAGATGTAATTAATCTCACGTCTTTTGGTTTGTTCACGTTCACATGTATTCATGATGTCTCTGCCAGTTTCAGCACTGAGTTGATATTTCTTTCCAAATCTTTGTTTCCAAAAGTTTAGGAAACAAGAGATCATTTAAAAAAACGAAGGCTCATGTGAAGGAGATGTTTGCAGTTTTGTAATGAATGGTATTGACGTATTATTACACATTTTGTGGC